TATTTATTTTTATCTGTAATATAAAATTATCTGTAAGATAAAAATGTAGATATATAAAAAATATATAATAATAATTTTATTTTAATTTTTTGAATATTAGTTTTATTATTAGTTATTAGTTTTATTATTTTATTTATTTTTAAATAATAAATTTTTTATTTTATGATTTTGTTAATAATGTTTTTTAGTAATGTTTTAAAATGCTTTGCTATTTACTCTATAAAATTTAATCTATAATTAATAATTACAAATACATTTATATTTTTAACATATAAATCTTTTAAATAAAAAAAATTTTATAATTGCAATATATTTCAATTAGAATGAACATGCTCAAAATATAGAAGATCTTTGTAAATTACATTCTGAAAACATAAAACTTTTACAAAAACAATATAATAATGTAATAGAAAACATATCTAAAGCTAAGCAAATAGAAGATCAAATGATACAAATTATGACAACTCGAACAACTGATATAGAAAATATATTACAAAAGGCTAATGTTATTATTGAAGATATAATAGAAAATAAAAAAAAATTGGAAATTAAACATAAAGAAATAATGGAATCTCATGAAAATACTTTGAAATTACAGGAAGATGATATAAAAGGTATATTTAAATAATATTATATTCCACAAATATATTTAATATATTTCATTTTTTATATCTTTCTTAAATATAATAATTACTATTCATATTAAATATATTATATGAATTCACATTTATATATGTATATTATATATATAAAATTATTATTATATAATATATTATATGGATTAATAATGGATAAAAAATATTACAATTATGCAAAAAAGAAAATAAATAATTTTTTAATTATTTTATAAATATCTATTTATATTTTATACACTCTATAAATTATAAATTAAAAAATTATTTTTATTGAATAATATTTATAGCTCAGAGGCTTGAATTAAAGCATCAAAATAATGTCCTAGAAGAACATCGTAATAAATTTATAGAAACAACGGAGAAACTTGACATTCGTCTTACAAGTCTTATAACTGAACTTCAAAAACAAAGTACATTATGCAATCAGGCAGAAGAAACACTTGAGAAAAAAGCAACAAATCTTTTAAAAGAAAGAGAATTATTTGAAGAAAAAATGAAATGGGAACGTGATTATATGGAGGTATTAAATATTAATTAAATTATATTTTTGAATTAGAATTAAAATTATTGTTATAATTTGAAATTATATATATATAAAAATACTAAATAATAAATATTTATATTTATATTTAATTAGACATTGAAGGAATCTTGGATGAAAGAACAAGAGAGACAATTAAAATTACTTGCAGAAGAAAAAGAAATAATAACAATTGAAAAAGCAGAATTACAAATTTCAAATAAATTACAAAACAATAATGAAATTGATAAAATAGAGGTATAAACAATTATATATACAGAATTATACAAGTATTATAAAAAGTAATGATACATAATTATTTAGAAAATATAAAAACTTATATTTTAATCATTATATAGTTGGAGACTGCTGTTAAAACTGCACAAGAAGCAACTATATCTGCTAATCGAAATAAATTAAAATGGCAAGAAAAAATTAATGAACTCGATATTCATAAGCAAATTTTACAAGATAAGGAGAATTTACTTATTTTACGTGCCAAAGAACTTGAATATCTTACACAAGTAATATTTTAAAATAATTATTATATTATTAATTCTTTTAATTTCTAAATCAATTATTATTTAAATATTTTATAGTCTGCATTAATTAAAAAAAAAGAAGGAATGAAAGCTTTAAAAAATGCAAAACACTTAGAAAATCAAAATAAACAAAAATTTAATCAGTTACAATTACAAATTCAAGCATTAATGGAAAAAGAAAAAAAAATTGCAACTGAAAAATACAATGTTACAAAGTAAATATTATAATATAATTATTATTTATACACACGCGCGCGCACACACACACATATTAATAATAGTTTTTTCAAAAATATACAATACTTTGTTTTTCTTTTAAATTTTTTATTATTATTATACATATCTATTTTAAAGGGATAGAATTAAAAAAGTTTCTTCAGTTTATGAAACTGAAAAACCAGAAAGAGATCTAAATGTTTCACGTAATTTTCAAAATGATATACCATTTTCTGAAATACAATCAAAATCTGAAATCACTACAGAATTAATGGTAAGAAAATAATTTATTTACAAAAATACTTTTATATATATAATATTATTTATTTAAAAAACTTTTTTGTTGCAGAATATTGTAGATCCAAACTTAATTATGTTAAAATTAAATCTCAATGATGAGTTTAATACTATTGATAAATATATAAACTTCTAAATAGACATTTAAAAGATATTTTGAAAATAATTCACAAAAGATTTTAATGTTTGCTGAAAATATTTCTTAAATCTAGCATTAATATTTAAAAATAAAATTAAATAAAAAGGATTACCTTATCAATAAATAATAATAAAATGTAATTTTCTTATTCAAAATATAATAATGTTTGTTTAGATTTTAATATCTTCATCTATAAATAAATAATGCTATTGCAATTAAATTATTCTTAAATTTAAAATTCTTTTTCATAATGTACTTTATATAATTTAATAATAATTTAAATATTTGTAACAAAATAATTATTAAATAACACTTTATATATTGAACAAACTTACCATCATTAACCAAACAATATTCTTGCAATATTTCTGTATTTTTTTGTAATGTTTTTATATCTGAAATTAAGGACTTTACTTTACAAAGTTCACTTCCTATGCTTTTTGTACAAAATGTCTGAAAAAATACATATATATAAAATAAAATAAATTTAAATAATAGCAATTTTTATTTTGTTTTAATAATATGAACTTACAATATCATGAAGCATATTCATAGAATTAATATTATTTTTTTTATCAATATTGTCAAAATTTTTAAATATATCTTGTAATTTATTTATAAAATCAATTCCTTCAGATAAAAACATTATTGCTTGCCTAAAAGAATATTTTAATAAATAACTTTAAAAATATTTTTTATTAGTATTAATTATTATTATTAATAATATAATAAATTATTAATAATATTATTATTAATAATATTAAAAAATATTTTTAAAGTAATTATTATCATAATACCGATGATAATCATGAGAAACTGGTAATCCTGATATATTCTCTGCATTATAAATTAATTTATATATTGAATGTTTATGCATTGTTAAACTTTGAAGATTTTTAACAATACTTTCTTTATAATTATTCCGTTCATCTGTATAATAAATATAAAATTAAATTTTAATTTTATAAAATTAATAATAATTTTTTTTGATTTAAAAATAAAAACCTTTTATAGTTTGTAATGTATTTATCAAATTACTATATTCAGTAATTTGCTTTTTTTCTTCAATTGCGAATTGTTCTTCACGAATAGTTCTTCTTTTGTGTAAAAGATTGATAACTTTTTCAATACTATCCATTTTAAATTATTTTAAAAGATAAATAAACAAAAGTACAATAAAGTAACTTTAAAAAATATTTCTTTGCTTATTACCAACTTGATAAATGAATCATCATATGTTAAATGTAATCAATGATCAGATTTGATCTGATCTAAACTCTTAAAGTAGGCTAACTTATATACAATACTATATACTTGAAGTAGATTGTAGTAGTATTTATTGTAAAAAAAAATGGCAGATATTTCATTTTCTAGTCGTGCATATTGTAAGATTATTTTACACGCAGCTAAATATCCACACTGTGCAATAAATGGTTTATTGTTAGCCAAACAAAGTAATAAAAATGATGGTAAATTCATTGAATTACATATTGAAGATGTAATTCCACTTTTTCATATTTGTCTTCATGTTTCGCCTATGGCAGAAATTGCTTTAACCATGGTAAATATTTGATGTGTAATGAATTCAGAAACTTAATAAATTTTGTAAAATTTTATTAATGTCATTTTTTATGGTAATAAGTATAAAATACAGATATAATTTATAAATTATATGTTAAATAATATCATTTTATTACTGGAAATACTTAAAACTTTCTATTTTTATTTGTAATTTTTAACCTATAAAATATATTAAATATATGAATTTATAAAAACATATTTATTTATAACAATCTGTAACATCATTTTCTTACGTAATTGTAAAAAATTATTGAATTATTGGAAATTTCAATTATGAAATTATATATAATTATTTGAATTTTGTAACATAAATATATTTAAAAATATTTTCAGGTTGATCAATATGCTAATAGTAAAGGTTTAGTACTAGCAGGTTATTATTTAGCAAATGAAAACATAAATGATTTAAGGTATTTTATTATTTATTTAGAATTTTTGACAATTTTTTTGTTATTGATCTTAATTATAAAAATTTAAAAATATAGTACAGATAAACCTGCTCATAAAATAGCGGATAAAATAGCAGAAAATTATGGTAATACTTTACTTGTTGTGGTAAGTGTTTTAACAAATTAAATCAAAATACTAAATCAAAATTTTTGTATTATTTTTTTTTCACATTACTAGGTGGATAATAAAGAAATTACACTTGCTATGAATTCAAATCCTTTAAGAGTATCACAATTTATAGATGGCAAATGGAAACTTAAAGATATAACAGAGTAATTAATTTAATATATCACAATTTTTTTTTAATGCTTATTGCTCATTTTTTGTGCTTATTGTTCATATTGATAAATTGCATTGATTTTTGCAGTATATTATATGATAAAGGAGTGACACATACAGATGTATTATATTCCTTACTTAAAGCAGAAGAATATAGAAATCTTATAGATTTTGATAATCATCTTGATGATATTTCTCTTAATTGGCAAAATCAAAAACTTAATAAAATCATAGAAGAAGTTATGGAAAAATATAAATAAAAATATGGAATTTATAAAAATAATTTATGAATATTTTCAAATGCATTTAGGAATATTTAATGTAAATAAATTAATAAATAAGAATATGCATTTTAATTTATTAATATAAAATGATTAAAAATAGTAAATTGAAATGAAGAATTATATTCAATATAATTATCAATGTTATTACAAAAATGATACTATCCAACTGCACTTTCAGATTCAAAATTATACAATAATTCTTTAACTTTTTATAAGTATTTGTTAAAGTAATAAATAAATAAAAACAATTTAAAAGTAAATATTTTTCATTGTTATATTTTATGAAAAGATTTTAATTTTGAAACTTGTTAAAATTATATTTTTTAATCTTCCATACCTAAAAAAATTAATTAAACAATAATAAATATTATATATATAATTGTGTTATAAAAAAAAAATAACTAATTTCTTTATTGTTCATTTTTTTTTTGAATCATTACTAACTATTATAATTATTTAATATATTACAAAATATTATAGTAATATGATTTTATGAAGAAATTTACCTGAAAATATATTTTCAAAATGATTATAACTAGAATTAAAATATATATTTGGATGCTTAAAGGTATTATCTATAATACAATTGTGTGTAATTTCATAATAAGTTTTGCATGCTTCAAGATAAGATTTTTTTTTTACATGTTGAATTATTGATTCTATATCTGAAATAAATTTAATTTTTTAAAAATAATATAATAATTAAAAATAAATAAAATGAATATACTAATAAATTATTATAAATTTCTATAATGGAAAAAATTGAATTTCATTTTTTTGATTGTGCATATATTAAAATTCTATTTATTAGATATTTATTAGATAATTATAGCTATAAATTATGAAGTTAATAAATAAAAGAGTATTGCATACAAATTTATATAAATAATATTAGAATTACTTACATTTAATAATAATTGATAAGTCCATACATGATATATTAAATCAATATGAAAGAATTAAATATATTATTATATTTATAATAATTTATATTTAATAAATATATTATTATTAAATATTTAATTCTAAATTTTTTAATTATTTTTTCATATATTCTATTTTATTTTTTAATATAATGTAATATTATAAGTAAATATTATTATTTACCTAAATGTATTAATCCATAATTTGAGAGTGTCTGTTTTAGTAGATCAAATGTCATACATTTAAACGGACAACCATGATTATCTCGTAAACCAACATTAGAATTAAATATCTTAAAACAATGAAATGGTTCATAATCTGCACGTTTTCCTTCCTGTCCATATAGAAATCGTATGCCATATCTATATTGTTTTTCAAAAGTTTTTTCATCCATTTTTTTTGTAAATTCATCTTTCCAAAATTGTATTGCATCATGTAATTTAAGACCTATTCCTTTAAGAAACAAGCCATATTGAACTCTACCACCATTTGTGAGATGATGATTTTTTTGTAATGCTTCATGAAGCAATCTCATGCACAATGGAAATGATTTTTGTGATAGCTTAAAAAAAATATTAAAATAAAATTGATATATGATAAAATGATTAATTAATAAAATCATTTTTTTATTTTTTATTAATTTTATTTTAATACTTAAGTTGTTAATATTTTAATATAGAATAATTGTAAATATTTTAAAAATAATTATAACTAAAATATACCTTATCTAATTCATCAATAGATATATATTTATATCTATTATGTTCAAGATATGGTTTATTAATATAATTTTGAAGTATATTAAATATTTTTGTTATTCTTTCATCACCATAAATATTTGATATTGTTGTTCTTGAGTACTAAAAAAAAAAAATATACAATATTTCAAAAAATAATATATATTTTTTAAATATATTTAAATATAAATTATATACTTACAGCAAAACCTTCATTTAATTTTTTTTTAAATTCAGAAAAAATTATCCAATAAATTTTTGTTTCAGGTACATAAGCAATTCCATTTTTCAAAAATACTTGTCGTTTTGCAATCAGATTTATTACATTAGTAAAATATACTTTATAAAAATTTATAATATTAATATTTTCATTGACAAAACAAAACATTTCTAAGTCTTTTTTAATTTTTTGTTTTTCCTCTTCAGAAACCTAAATAAATATATTAACAATTGTAAATAAAAAATATTCTATTAATTATAATAAAAATTATATAATAGAATATTATATAATTAATTACATATAATTATTATATTTTATACTAACAGAAGGAAATTGAATTCCATTAATATAATTAAAGAGTTTTATGTCTTTTTTATTCAAAAAAGAAAGTCTCCATTTAAATAATTTTACTTCTTGTTTAAAGAACCATTGTCTTTTCTTATGTTCTAAAGAAAATGCTGATCTCAAAATAAAGTGTGATATAGAATCATTTTTTCTTAGAAGCTGCTTTTTACTTTGTGAAATTTCATAGTTAGACATATTTATAAGTTTTGCAAACTTAATTAAATCATTTTTTTCCAATTCTTTAATTAAAGCAATACGACATTGCCTCGCTTTATAATATTGTTTTGATACTTTGTTTACTAATTCTAAAACTAAAAAACAAAATTTGATTTTATTTCTAAATATAAATATTAATTATTTATTAAAAAGAATTACAATAACTACCCTTTAATCTATCAATACACCATTGATATAATTCTTCTAATTTAATATATCCAGATGGAGGTATAATATACATTTGCAAATCATGCAAGTATATGTAATTAGGAATTTGTTTAATTTTCATACTAGGTTGAAATGTAATTGGTATGCATGCCATACCTATGAAAAATTGTAATGATAAAATAATTATTATATATCATAAAATAATATAATAACCAAATTTATATCATTTAATTTTTTATATAAAACATCATTTATTCCATTATTTCATGTGAAATTAATAATGTGAAAAAAAGATTATTTTGTATTTATAAAAGTATCTATATTTTATTCATATTATATATATATATATATATTTTATCATTTTATTTCATCAATATTCATCAATTTATTTATGATCTCAATTCATCTTTAATAAATTGTAAAAATTCAATGTCAAAATTCATTATCAAAATATTATTAAAATAAATGATTATACAATTATTATAATATAAAAAAATTAATTAATTTTCAACATAAATATTTAAAAAACATCTTTATAAAAATTATTGCTACTGTTTTTAAGATATAAATAGTTAACAATAGTTAAGATATTTGTTTTGTACAATTAAATTATTATATATTACTAATAATTACTTAATTAACTTTTGATCTATTTATAATTTTATTGTATTGTATAATATTTATTACAAAGAAATATCATTGAAAATTTAATAAAATAATTTTTATTGCGCGACGATAACATAACCATACATAACAATGTGATTAGTATAATTTTAATATATGAGGTTAAATGTCAAACATTTTTTGTCTTATTATGACTTCTTTGTTACAACAATATAAATTTGAATGTCGGTAAGTTATTTAAAATATTATTTAAAATAAGCATAAATATAATAAAATATATATATATATTTTATAAGTATATTTGCATTACAATTATGGAAATATATAAATTTTTTTATGAAATTCTAATAAAAATTAACTTTCGATATAATTATAAAATATAATTAACAACGATTGAAACACTTAATTATTAAAAATAAAATTATGATATATTTATAGTATTTGAAATATTTTGAAATTACATAAGAGTAATTAAGAATTAATATTATAAAACTATTAAAATATAAATTGATACTTATACTTTAATATATATATATTATTTTATGTAATAAAATTTAAAAAAAATTTAGTTTATATGTTTGTTATGTTTAGAGTTAGTTCGGTTTTAAATAAAAATAATCAATCTTATGGGAAAAATTATATGTTTGATAATTGTCCTGAAACATGTTGGAATTCCAATTCGGTAAGGAAATTTTTTTTTTATTTTTGATATATAATATTAAAAGAAATATTTATTATTATTATATACATGTATTATAGGGAATTCCACAATGGATAATTATTCATTTTGAACAAGAATGTGTAGTAAATTCATTTGAAATTGAATTTCAAGGTGGATTTGTTGGCAAAGATTGTCATTTAGAAGTTGGTGACAAAGAAACTAAATTTTATGAATCCTTTTATCCAGAAGATAAAAATACAATACAAATGTTTAATTTGAAAAATTCAATCAAAGCAAAAACATTTAAATTTGTATTTAATGAAAGTACAGATTTTTTTGGCAGAATAATCATATACAAATTATCTTTATATTCATAACATATTATAATAATATTTATAATATGTAGATTTTATTATATTTTAAATAAAATATAAAAATTTTTCAAATTTTCAAAATGTTATTAACTATAAAAAATTAATACATTATAAAAAAAAATTTTTTAGCTATTTTATAGAAAAAAATATATATACAATCTTAAAATATATATAAAAAATAAAAAAATCAGAAGATTTTTATTTTGAAGTATATAAAAAATATAATTTATATATTTCAATACCATTATGTTAAATATATAAACATGTAGTAATGATAAATGAATTAAATAAGATATAAAATGATTATATAAATTATGATAAATGACATTAAAACATTATTTTCAATCAAACAATTATTAATAAAAAGATATAAAATATAATAATTATATTATTATATAATAAAAAAAAATATTTTTTGTAAATATTTTAGAAATTTATATATAGTAATGTATATATTAATATGTATATAAATTATATATATATATATATATATATATTGTATATATTAATATATATAATGTATACATATTAAAAAAAATTAAATTAATGTCCATTCAATTTAAGTTCTTAAAATTTCTCTTTATCTGATATTCCGTTTATAATACAATATATGTATTATATATGTATTATAATCGCAAATAACGAAAAATCTTGTGGGATGAATAGAATTAAGAAGAGCATTTTTTTTTTTTATTCAACAATACATAATGCTATATGATTTTATTTATTGATACTTATAAATAATACTTTTGGTTAATATGTATCTATTTTTAATACATATTAAAATCCATTAAAATCAACTAATCATATTATTGCATTTTTTTTAGAAGACTTTTTGTTAACCATTTTGTTTGTTCTTTGTTTTAATGATAAAATAGTAAAAAAATGAAGTCATATTAGATCTGCAATTTCTTTTTAAATTTGTAGTGCTTATATGAAATAAAACAAATTCAAATAAAAGGCAAAATAAAGATTTTTATTTAATATATCAGTTAGCAGAAATAGCTGATCCAAGTTGTCTCATTAATTTATAACATTCTTGAAGTCTTTTTCTATCACCTACTCTTTCCAAAGTTTTTGCAGCTTCTGCAAGCATACCTGCACGTTCTCCAGGAGTGGCTAGTAATAATGAAGGTAAATGTCGACATGCTAAACATAAAGCTACTGCGTGTTCTTTTTCTCCAGTATATTGATCTTGTGAACGATCTTTACCACAAATAATTGAAGAACGTGAATTTCTATGATGTAAGCTGCGATCTAATAATATCTGAGTTTTTACAGGTGTTGCTCCTGCCATTATACGTACTGTGGCTTCATAAAGAAATACTCTTGCCAAGGTAGACTAAAAAATAAACAACAATGATTAAAGATGATGAATATTTTTAATAATTAAAAAAAAAAAAACTTACTGGAATATGTTGACATAATTGTCTTAAACAAGCTAAATCACGTTGAAAACCTCTAAGAGATATATTTGTGGTTAATTTTTCTAAATCACTATCTAATTCTTGCCAAAGTGTAGTTCTCATTTCAAGTAACCAGTCACAAATCCACAATTGAGTAAGCTAAAAAAATCAAAACCAATAAAAAAATCATTAATTAAAAAAAATATAAATATATATAAGTTTTATTTACTATCATATATTTATTACTATATGATGTTGAAATCTGCCACAAGAGTTGCACTGTAGAAGTATTGCATAGTTATATTTCATGCAATGCAACTACAATGCACAGTTGTAACAGGTAAGCAATCAAATAAATATTATATACAATCATTAATAAATATTTTAATAATGATACTAGATAATTTTATATGAAATAATGTACTTCATATCAATTCTTGATCTATATTATGATTTACTTGTTTATTAAAAATATTTTTTATTTTGTATAAAAATGAAATATTTATTTAAAAAATATATATATAATATATTATAATATATTATAAAAACTAACTTAAAGAATAAAATTATAAATTTAAAATTAAATACTTTTATTTTTATATTCAAATTGTGTTAATTCATAATTTTTAATTTTTTAATTATTATATTTAGTTGTATTTAATAAGAGTTGAATATTAATATTGATATTAAATATTGATATTATATCTAATGGATATAATATCTAAATATCTTACCAAAACATTTTGTGAAGACTGTTGTTTGCAATTATAATAAACCAAGCATTGTTCAAGTAATATTCCTGCTTGATCAATAAAATGCATGGAAGTTGGTTTAATAGTAGCTTTTGCAGCTTGCAAAGTATTGAAAACAATATATGGTAGTGGACTAACACTATTATTATTATTGCAAAGTTGATAATTTTTTTCATAAGGAAATTTGCTTTCAACAATGCTCCATGCTTGAGAATCATCTTCTTTTAATCTCCAACATGCTGCTACATACATAACTGCTCCCCACCATAATCCAATTTCATCTTCACAATCTAAAATATTAATTGACGAAATTGTTCATTCATCAAAATAAAGAAATAAATTTAATTGTATATATTCAGTATGAAAAAATTAAAAAAAATTTTATTTAATTTTAATAATTCTTACGTGTAATTGTAACTTTGTCAGTACACAAAAATCCAGTATATACTCCAGCAGAAGCCATAATAGTTTGTCCATATTCTAATATTGAAGATAAATGAGTATCTCCAACAGTGCCAGTTAAAATACGTAAACATTGTCCAATTAAATAATCTCTATATGCACGTGAAGCATATGATAGAGGATCAGCTTTACTAGTTTGAGACGTGAATTCATTATCTGGTTGTTCTCCATATTGCCATTTTTGAAATGCTAAAAATTTTGCACCTTCATCACTCATTATCCATTTTAATTTTGATGGAACTGTACATGATGACAATAATGTACGTGCTTTGCCTAAATAATATTTATGAATAAATGGAAAAAGTGATTGTTTGAAACATAATGCAACATTAGTATATATTTCTGCCAATAATGATTTTGGAATAGTTTCACCAATTGTTTCTGCATAATTCACTGCAGAAAGAGCGAGATACAAAGTTCCATTTTTTGATCCTTCTGATAAATGTAAACATAGCATATGCTGATAAATAATAGCTATTTCCATAGCTGATATTTCTGCCTGTTGTCGTATGGTTTTTTCTGAAAACCATTTATGAATATGTAAAATCCATTTCCCAATCCATAATTTATGAAGAAGTTGTCTTATTATTTGCCACATAGTTGCAAGCCAAGTTTCTGTACGAGATGATGGATATGGACGACCTAAATATTGCAAACATTGATGTAAATCTCGATATGCTTGACTATATTCACTTTTTGATATATTAAATTCTGCTTGGCGTCTCCATCTATGAAGTTCAAGAAATATTTTACTATCAGAAGGAAATATTGGATCACCATATAATAATAATCTACAAAGTCCGCCAATTAAAAGTATAGTATTCGTTAACCATAATAATAAATTACTCCATACTGGATTTTCAAAATCTGATTGATCTAAAAAAGATTAATGTTGTTATTATTCATTATATGTAACAATTAGTAGATTATAATAATATAATAATATATAGTATATAATTATTATTATAATAATAAATTATTATTATTACAATATTTATACCTTGATAATTAAGAATGGTACGACCATCCAATTTTGTATTTATATAATCAGAATTAAATCTTCCAATGTTATTTATTACAAAACCTAAAGGATTGAATGCTAAAAAGAGAAGCATAAATCCACAGAGAGTAAGTCTGGTATGATCTCTCATGCTTTGATTGGTAAGAACAGATGTTGCATCAACATTTTGTAAAACATCTGGATCATCTTTTATAGAAGATGGAGATGGGGGAGATAATGGTGCTGGTGCTGGAGATAAAGATGGTTCACTTGAATCTGATCTAGGTGGTGTAAGTTCACCACAAACTAATAAATCACGTAAATTTTGTCTTTGAGCTAATTTTAATGACATATTTTCTTGTTTTAATCTTGCATTAGAATTTTGCAGAAATCTAAAATTTTATTAAATTTTTAGAAATCTAAAATTGTTTAATAAATATTTTTTTAATATATAATATATATGTAAAAAAATTAAATATATATAATATATTTAATATACCTAATATAATCAATAGTTTTTCTTAAAATTGCTGATTTATTTAATTTAGCATCTACTCCAACAATGATATTTTTCAATTCAATAATTTTATCATTAATTGATGTTCTATAACGTCGTTCTATAGCATTATGTGCACTACGTTTTACTTCTTTTACTCTTGGTACACCTATATGTGTATTTGTGCTCAAACGATTAATTTGTACTTTATCAGTATCTAATACAACTGGAATACCTAAATAAAAATTGAAATATGAATATGAATAAAAATAAAAAATCTGATAGTATATCAATAAATTGCCATAATTTTTTACCAGCAGTTAAAACTGTTCCATTAGCAGTATTTACTAATGTATGTATTTGATGTGGTACAGAAGTTGAACTAACAGCTTGTGACCCTCTAGAATAAACAACTGATTCTGATTTTATAAGCTTAGCTGGTAAAAGTAATTGTCTTTGTTGTGTCATTGGTGCAATTGTTACAACAGGTGATTGGACACTAAAATTCATATTTTGTGGAATAGCATATTGTGAACTAAATACTGTGGGTGCTGGTGTGACAGATATTCTCTGTGCTCTATTCTGTACAGGTATTACATCTTGCAATTGTGATTGTTGTTGCTTTTGTTGTTGAGGTTGTTGAGAAACACAAGAAATTTGTTGTGTATTTTCTGTTACTGTTGGAGTTAATATTACATTTCCATTTGATACAGGTTTTATAATATTTGGATTTTCAAAATTATGAAATTCTTTGAAATCCTTTAATTCTTTATTATTATTAAAGTTTAAAAAATCCAATCCTTCTGTATCCATGCCCAAAGGCTCTTCCAATTGTGATAATAATGCATCATCACTAAATAAATTTTCATTTTTTAATAATTCACTTTCACAGTTTGTAAGAAGTTCTATAACATACATAAAAAAAAAAGAAAATAAAAACGGAATTAATATGTATATAAATAAAATTACATATAGTAATACTGGTTATACTTTATTACATATTTCAAATTTTTAATGTAATAATATGTATATAAGTTATTAAAAATTTTTTAATTTAATTTTAAAAAAATATTGAATTAGATAATAAAAATTAAAACTATTCTATTATACTGTTTTAATGAATAAAATCATATATATATATATATATATATATA